TTTTTTTTTTTTTTAATGTTTGTTTATATTTGAGAGAGAAAGAGACAGAACATGAGCTGGGGAGGGGCAGCAAGAGAGGGAGACACAGAATCTGAAGCAGGCTCCAGGCTCTGAGCTGTCAGCACAGAGCCTGACGCGGGGCTTGAACTCACGAGCTGTGAGATCATGACCTGAGCCAAAGTCAGACGCTCAACCAACTGAGCCACCCAGGCGCCCCTAATACCCTCTAGTTCTATCCATGTAGTTGCAAATGGCAAGATTTCATTCTTTTTGATTGCCGAGTAATACTCTATTGTATATATATACCACATCTATCCGTTCATCCATTGATGGACACTTGGGCTCTTTCCATACTTGGCTATTGTTGATAGTGCTGCTATAAACATGGGGGTGCATGTGCCCCTTTGAAACAGCATACCTGTATCCCTTGGATAAATACCTAGTAGTGCAATTGCTGGGTCATAGGCTGGTTCTATTTTTAATTTTTTGAGGAACCTCCATACTGTTTTCCAGAGGGGCTGCACCAGCTTGCATTGCCCCCAACAATGCAAAAGAGATCCTCTTTCTCTGCATCCTTGCCAACATCTATTGTTGCCTGAGTTGTTAATGTTAGCCATTCTGACAGGTGTATGGTGGTATCTCATTGTGGTTTTGATTTGTATTTCCCTGATGATGAGTGAAGTTGAGCATTTTTTCATGTGTCGGTTGGCCATCTGGATGTTTTCTTTGGAGAAGGTCTATTCATGTCTTTTGCCTATTTCTTCAATGGATTATTTGTTTTTTGGGTATTGAATTTGATAAGTTCTTTATAGATTTTGGATACTAACCCTTTATCTGATATGTCATTTGCAAATACCTTCTTTCATTTCATCCAGTTGCCTTTTAGTTTTGCTGATTGTTTCCTTTGCTGTGCTGAAGCTTTTTATTTTGGTGAGGTCCCAATAGTTCATTTTTGCTTTTGTTTCCCTTGCCTCTGAAGACATGTTGAGTAAGAAGTTGCTGCGGCCAAGGTCAAAGAGGTTTTCACCTGCTTTCTCCTTCAGGATTTTGATGGCTCCTGTCTTAGATTTAGGTCTTTCATCTACTTTGAGTTTATTTCTGTGTAGGGTGTAAGAAAGTGGTCTTGGTTCATTCTTCTGCATGATGCTGTCCAGTTTTCCCAAGACGATTTGAAGAGACTTGTCTTTATTCCATTGGATATTCTTTCCTGCTTTGTCAAAGATTAGTTGGCCATGCATTTGTAGATCCATTTCTGGGTTCTCTATTCTGTTCCATTGATCTGAGTGTCTGTTCCTGTGCCAGTACCATACTGTCTTTATGATTACAGCTTTGCAATACAACGTGAAGTCAGGATCGTGATGCCTCCTGCTTTGGTTTTCAAGATCGCTTTGGCTGTTCGGGGTCTTTTCTGGTTCCACACAGATTTTAGGATTGTTTGTTCTAGCTCTGTGAAGAGTGGTGGTGTTATTTTGATAGGTATTGCATTGAATATGTAGATTGCTTTGGGTAGTATTGACATTTTAACAATATTTGTTCTTCCTATCCAGGAGCATGGAATCTTTTTCCATTTTTTTGTGTCTTCTTCAATTTCTTTCATAAGCTTTCTCTAGTTTTCAGTGTATAAATTTTTCACCTCTTTGGTTAGATTTATTCCTAGGTATTTTATGGTTTTTGGTGCAATTGTAAATGGTATCGATTCCTTGATTTCTCTTTCTGTTGCTTCATTGTTGGTGTATTGGAATGTAACTGATTTCTGTTCATTGATTTTATATCCTGCCACTTTGCTGAATTCTTGGATCAGTTCTAGCAATTTTTTGGTGGAATTTTGGGTTTTCCATATAGAGTATCATGTCATCTGCGAAGAGTGAGAGTTTGACCTCCTCCTGGCCGATTTGGATACCTTTATTTCTTTGTGTTGTCTGATTGCAGAGGCTAAGATTTCCACTACCATGTTGAATAACAGTGGTGATAGTGGACATCTCTGTCTTGTTCCTGACCTTAGGGGGAAAGCTCTCAGTTTTTCCCCACTGAGGAGGATATTAGCATTGGGTCTTTCATATATGACTTTTATGATCTCAAGGTATAATCCTTCTATCCCTACTTTCTTAAGGGTTTTTATCAAGAAAGGATGCTGTATTTTGTCAAATGCTTTCTTTGCGTCTACTGAGAGGATCATATGGTTCTTGTCCTTTTCTTTTATTGATGTGATGCATCGCATTGATTGTTTTGCAGATATTGAACCAGCCCTGCATCCCAGGTATAAATCCCACTTGGTCGTGGTGAATAATTTTTTTAATGTATTGTTGGATCTGGTTGGCTAATATCTTATTGAGGATTTTCGCATCCACGTTCATCAGGGAAATTGGTCTGTAGTTCTCCTTTTTAGTGGGGTCTGTGTCTAGTTTTGGAATCAAGGTAATGCTGGCTTCATAGAAAGAGTTTGGAAGTTTTCCTTCCATTTCTAGTTTTTGGAATAGCTTCAAGGGAATAGATTTTAACTCTTCCTTAAAGGTTTGGTAGAATTCCCCTGGAAAGCCATCTGGCCCTGGACTCTTGTTTTTTGGGAGATTTTTGATTACTACTTCGATTTCTTTACTGGTTATGGGTCTGTTCAAATTTCTATTTCTTTCTGTTTCAGTTTTGGTAGTTTATATGTTTCTAGGAATTTGTCCATTTCTTCCAGATTGCCCATTTTATTGGCATATGATTGCTCATAATATTCCCTTATTGTTTTTATTTCTGCTGTGTTGGTTGTGATCACTCCTCTTTCATTCTTGACTTTATTTATTTGGGTCCTTTTTCTTTTTGATCAAACTGACTAGTGGTTTATCAATTTTGTTAATTGTTTTAAAGAACCAGCTTCTGGTTTCATTGATCTGTTTTACTGTTTTTTTGGGGGGGGGGGTTCAATAGCATTGATTTCTCCTCTAATATTTATTATTTCCTGTCTTCTGCTGGTTTTAGAATTTATTTTTTCTTTTTCCAGCTCTTTAAGGTGTAATGTTAGGTTGTGTATCTGAGACCTTTCTTCCTTCTTTAGGAAGGCCTGGATTGCTATATACTTCTCTCTTATGACTGCCTTTATTGCATCCCAGAGGTTTTGGGCTGTGGTGTTACCATTTTCATTGGCTTCCATGTACTTTTGCATTTCCTCTTTAACTTCTTGGTTAGCCCATTCGTTCTTTAGTAGGATGTTCTTTAGTCTCCAAATATTTGTTATCTTTCCAAGTTTTTTCTCGTTGATTTCGAGTTTCTTAGCGTTGTGGTCTGAAAATATGCACGGTATGATCTTGATCTTTTTGTACTTCTTGAGGGCTGATTTGTGTCCCAGTATGTGATCTATTCTGGAGAATGTTCCATGTGCACTTGAACAGAGTGTATATTCTGGTGCTTTAGGATGAAATGTTCTGAATATATCTATTAAGTCCATCTGGTCCAGTATGTCATTCAAAGCCATTGTTTCCTTGTTGATTTTTTGATTAGATGATCTGTCCATTGCTGTGAGTGGGGTGTTGAAGTCTCCTACTATTATGGTATTATTATCAATGAGTTTCTTTATGTTTGTGATTAATTGATTTATATATTTGGGTGCTTCCACATTTGGAACATAAATGTTTACAATTGTTAGATCTTGTTGGTGGATAGACCCCTTAATTATGATATAATGTCCTTCTTCATCTCTTGTTACAGTCTTTATTTTAAAGTCTAGATTGTCTGATAGAAGTATGGCTACTCTGGCTTTCTTTTGTCAACCGTTAGCATGATAGATTGTTCTCCATCCCCTTACTTTCAATCTGAAGGTGTCTTTAGGTCTAAAGTGGGTCTCTTGTAAACAGCATATAGATGGATCTTGTTTTCTTATCCATTCTGTTATCCTGTGTCTTTTGATTGAAACATTTAGTCCATTGACGTTTAGTGTGAGTACTGAATAAACCCTGGAGCTCTTTAGAAATGCCAATACATGTTATCTTCCCTTTAGAGGTTCTTATTCAGTGGTGTGGGCTGGGGCCTGGCCATGTGTATTTTGTTTTGAATGCCCACTGGTGATCTTGTGGGCATGGGCTAGGGTAAGGTCCACTGTGCCCAGTTTACCAGATTCCCTTTGGTGTTTCCACAGTTTAATTTTTTTTTAATGTTTATTTTTTGAGAGAGAGAGAGAGAGAGAGCATGAGCATGGGAGGGGCAGAGAGAGAGGGAGACACAGAATCTGAAGCAGGCTCCAGGCCCTGAGCTGTCAGTACAGGGCCCGATGTGGGGCTTGAACCCACAAACTGCAAGATCATCACCTGAGCCGAAGTTGGATGCCCAACCGACTGAGCCACCCAGGTGTTCCTGGTATTTCCACAGTTTAAGTGAGACTGTCAACACTGGGTATCAGTAATTTTTTTTCCTTTTTGTTATCTGCCAATTTGTTATCTGCCTTACGTTTTACCTCTTTTTTCTGTTCCCATGTATTTGCTGCCTTCGAGCCCAGACTTCTGTCTTCCCCGGAGTGTTTCTCTCTGTCCCCCTCCCTGTCAAGGCCCCTGCCTGCTCAGGCCTGCGGGGAGCTCATGGAGGCTTGCTGTTGTGGTCTGCAGGTGTCTGACTTTCGGGAGCAGCTGCTGGCATGTGCTGGGGTAGAAGCTGAGCGAGTGGTGGAGTTTTCCTGTGGTGAGAATCCATGGCCAGGGTGGAATGGGCCATGTGTCACACTCTGGCAGCTTATTGTCACAGTTGAGGAGGCCACGAGGTGGGACCTTCTCCCTTTGCCAGCTCTCTGGCGAGCTTACTTAGCCCCGTGCTTCTGCACTGTGTCCCTCCGCCTATGTGGGAGAGGTCTGAGTCCCGCCCACCTGCGCTGTGGAAGCAGGGCAGGTGGCAGAGTGTTGGAATTGTTCTCCTAGCATGGAAGACAAGGTTGCGGAATGCTCCTTCTGGACACTGCCTTGTAGAATAGCCCCTCCTCGGTCTCTGCAGGTCACGTGATCCCTCCAGACAACATCCTGCCCCTCGTCATCTGCAGCGGGCCCTCCAGCCAGCAGTTGGAGTTCACATACCAGAAGAGAGAACTGCCTCAGATGGTTTGTACCAGCCTGCTTGCCTTACCACAGCCTCTGCCAGGGCAGGAGAGCAGTTTCTGGGGTGGTGGGTGCTCTGACCAGTGCTTAGTGTCCAGGTCTGGGGTCTTCCACCACAGAGCTGGAACAGAATGGCTGGTGTCCATCTAGATGCTTATCAGGGGAAGTCTGAGCGTTCCCCTCCCCTCACTCCCTGGACTGTTAAATAAGTTTTCTTAAACCTCAAGGTGTTCCTTCAGGATGAAACTGATGAGGAAGCTGTTCATTTCCTTTCGTTCTCTTGCCATTTGGTTGCATCAGTCCCCACCTTGGGCAGGGATGCAGGTGTCAGGAGCTTGTCACTAGAGGCTGCCTGGGGTTTTCATGGCGCAGTGGGCATTGGGAGTTGGAGCAGGGAGGACATGACACACTAGCAGCAGGGTTATTAGCTCTGGAGTGCTGGCCTTGTGATGTGTGTGGTACACTCCCCAGAAGCATCAGCTGGGTGTGTGTGTGTGGTGAGAGGGTGGCACCTTCCTGTCTGTTGATTTCTGCCCGGGGGCCTCTGGGCCCACACTTCTCTTCCCCGATCGTAGTCACCCTTGGATCTGTACTTGGTTTTGAGTCCCAAGGTTAGGAAGCATTGTTCGGATATGGCTTCAGGGAGGGCTCTGTCTTCTTTCCTTAGATGGATGAGACGGGTCGTATTCTCTATAACCTGTGCAATGTGGTCCCTGGAGGGTTGGTCTGTTTCTTCCCCTCCTATGAGTACCAACGCCAGGTCCATGCCCACTGGGATAAGAGTGGTCTGCTGGCCCGCCTGGCTGTCAGGAAAAAGGTGAGTGACCCCCTCATCTGGGACTCCCACTTGTGAGGTCAGTGGTACCCAGGGTTCCTGCTAGGATTTCTCATGCATGTCAGACCAGAATGTTAGGCTTACATATGGGCTTCTGTTAGTTACTCCCACCACTTCTAACACCTCGTCACCTCCCACAGGATTTCTCTCTAGCCCCTTACTCTGTGGGGTTCTCTGGTTCCCAGTCTGGAAAACATAGGGCTGAGAGCAGACCTGGGACCTATGCATTCTGAAACCTTTTCCTGGGAGACATTGTCTGTTCTCCTTCAGATATTTCAGGAACCCAAGAGAGCGAACCAGGTGGAGCAGGTGCTGCTGGAGTATTCCAGGTGCATTAAGGTGAGAGGTGTAACTGAGGCCTTGGGCCCAGAGAACATCTGGAGCTGGCAGCTGCAGATATTTTGGGTGGCATCCAAGATCTGGCTCCACAGCTTGGGCTGTTGTCTCCTGCAGTGCTGTGGCCATGCGGGAGGCGTGGTGACAGGTGCTCTGCTCCTCTCTGTGGTTGGAGGAAAGATGAGTGAAGGCATTAACTTCTCTGACGACCTTGGCCGGTAAGTTGTGGGTCTCTCGTCTCCTGGGCTCTGACACCGACCACCCCTCACTCCAAATAGCAGGGACCCTGCCTGGAAGCCGATGCCATCTGAGTCTGCACCCTGGCTGACTGCTCAGGTCACTCAGCTGTATGGGGAGGTGTTTCGGCCCTTTGCTTCCAGGTGGAAGTTAGGCTGATCATCAGGGTTCAATTCACGTGGCCTGCATTGGGTTTCTTAGCTGAGAAAATGCACTCGAGGTGGAGGTACAGGGTGGGGAGGGAGGGGCAGAGCCAGTGAGCACAGCTTGAGGGGGCAAAGGTGTGCTGGTTATAGCAGCTGAGGACGCGTGGTGAGGACCGGGTCCTATATTCTGGCCCTTGAAGATGTGATGAAGGCCTGGCTGCCCACATGCCATGGCCTCATGTTCCCTCCATGCTAGGTGTGTAGTTATGGTAGGCATGCCCTACCCCAACATCAAGTCTCCAGAGCTACAAGAGAAGATGGCCTACCTGGATCAGACTCTTGTGAGTACCTTCAGCGTGCCAAAGGATGGGAGGAGACAGCTGGGGAGAAAGTTCTGTCGCCTCTAGGACTGTGATACCAGGGCGGTACAGCTGTGACCTCCCACTGCCCGCTGATGTGTGCCAGTGTTTCCTGCCTTGCTCCAGGGGATGGGATGTACCTCCTTACCCTCTTGAGCTTCTCTGTGATCTCATCCGTTATATCAGCTGCTGGCATTGTGCCCATGAAGACTACTGTTCTTGCTCCAAAGCCTGGCAGTATAATTTTCTCAGAACACTAAGAAGGAGGCAAGAAGATACTGATAGATCATCTCCTCTGCCCTTCCCAGCCCAGAATCCCAGGTCAGCCCCCACCAGGGAAGGCTTTGGTGGAGAATCTGTGTATGAAGGCTGTCAACCAATCTATAGGTAGGCCGGGGAATGTTCCTGCGGATAGTGGTGATGGATGGTGGGAGAATGAGTTGACAGGGAAGAGGGATTTTACTGCTCTTTGAGGTTGGGGGGACACAATAGACACCGTGGTGGAGGCTGGTTTAACCAAGAAGCCCCAACCTCTGTTGCCATCTAGGCAGGGCCATCAGGCACCAGAAGGATTTTGCCAGCATAGTGCTCCTGGATCACCGGTATGCCCGCCCACCTATCCTGGGAAAGCTGCCAGCCTGGATCCGAGACCGCGTAGAGGTCAAAGCCACCTTTGGCCCTGCCTTTGCTGCTATGAGGAAGGTCAGTCCTACCTTACCCTGCCCCCTGAGAGCCTCCCCACCCCTGAGATCTAGTGTCTCACTGCCTATGCCTGTCTCCCCAGTTTCACCGCGAGAGGCCTGGCCCCTCCTGATGGATGTCCCACCACTGCCTGAGTGCCAGGTTCTTCCTTCACCCTGCCCACTTGAAGTGTTGGGGAGTGTGGGGAGCCAGCCTAAGAAGGTGATACCCAGGTGGAGACCAGACCAACCCCTTTCTGGAGTCAGTGGGCTGCCAGGACTGGGCACAGGTAGAAAAACCAGTAGGAGAAAAATCGAGTCGATCTGAAGAAACAGTGGGTCCTGGCCATCCTCGGGCCCACCCGGGGGCAGTTGTTCCCCACCCTGGAATTGAATGTTTGTCCATGCAGCATGGCCCAGAGTCAAGCTTCCTGCCCTGTTCCACTGCACTGTCTCTGGCCTTGCAGTCTCTCAGTGGCCACCTTCTCAGGCAGGCCCTCCTGCCTTTCCCCCATTCTGGCTACAGTTAGCTATTCTAGACCTTCACCCTCTCTTCAAAACTAAGAATGTTCCCTATTTCCAGCTTCCTGGTGCCCATAGGGCTCTTTCTGCACCCCTCAACCCTACCTTCTTTCTCTATGTTGTTAAGAACTGAGAAGGGGCGCCTGGGTGGCTCAGTCAGTTAAGCATCTGACTTTGGCTCAGGTCATGATCTCGCAGTCCGTGAGTTCAAGCCCCATGTCAGGCTCTGTGCTGACAGCTCACAGTCTGGAGCCTGCTTTGGATTCTGTGTTTCCCTCTCTCTGCCCTTCCCCTGCTTATGATCGGTCTCAAAAATAAACAAACATTAAAAACAAACAAACTGGGAAGAGTGTCCTGGGCCTTTGTTTTTAAACCATAGGGCTGGTCCCTAACCTCTTCCACAGCATTTCTTGCTCCCTTGGCTTGGCTCCAGGTCTTCCTCCAAGTCAGTGGCACCTTCCCCCTCAGCTACTTGAGCAAACTCCAAGACACCTCCTCCCCTGACTTAGCAATTATGCTGAGGGCCATTAGGCTCTCAGCAGGACTATTTTTAGAGACCCCGTGTCTATCAGGGAGACATTTTTCCCTGTGTGAAAATACCCCCGCCTCTGTCTGCACCAGCTTCCCTTGTTGACTGCACCTCTCTTCTCTCCCTGACCCAGAGGAAGGGGCCTCGGTCCGCCAGGTGCTCTGCCCCCATTGCTTGAGCCTGGTGGGAACAGGAGGACAGACACCGGCTGGGAGGAGACACTTGCACTCTGCACAGCTATAGTTCCATGATTAAAAGTGCGCCACTGGTTTATGCTTGGTTCTTGCCGTATTATGTCTTTATTGATCCACGTATTTATTTCAGTCTGTAGCTGGAGGAGAGCACAGGCAGAGAGCAGGGGGCTCCCCCCTCCCAGCCATTTGGCCTCAGAAGCTGGCCACCTCACTCCTTGAAGAAGGTTCCGGGCACAGACCTGGGAGGGGGGCAGTCCTCCACAATCCCTGTTCCTCCAAGGGCAGCAGGGGCAGAGCGACTCACGGGCCAGGCAGCCCTTCCTAGCCATGTCCATGTGAGGGCAGTAACTAAATCTGGGTTTTGGTGGGGAAGGAACGGCTAACCCCTAGGATTCCCAGTCGTCCTCATCTTCTTCTCCAGGTGGCTGCTGTGGGGGAGGCAGAGGCGGTATGGAGTCTGACATTCGGGCAAAGGCTCCTCCTGGCCCCTCACCGGTCCCCGTTGCAGGTCCTTTACCAGAGATACCTGGCGGGACAGAGTTGGAGGGTGAGGGGGTTGGTGTGGGATACCAGTTCACCCAGCCCCTAGAGACTTAACAGGAAGAAAGTGGCAAAACGTTCATGATACAAAATATCCTGAGCCTCCCAGCCCAAGGGAAGGCAGCAGGCTCTGCTTCCTACCTTTACGCCTCATGACCAGCTTGTTAAAGAGATCCGACATCAGGTCCCCACCTTGGCTTGTGGCTCTCACTGTAATGGGAAAGCCACTAGTAAGGAAAGATGAAGGAACCAAGGGGAATATCTGCCTCTGGGGTGACATTCTCAGGGTTTGGATCTATTTATTTTTTGCTCCCTATCAACACATGCCAGCCCCTCCCACAGCCACCATGTCTTGGAGCTTCAGGCTGGCACTGGATCCAGCACTGGGGCACTAATATGAAACTGAGTAACACAGCCACCTGAAACAGAGGGGGAGGTATGAGTGGCCCCATTGTACGGATGAGGAAACTGGCCCAAAGAGGTCGGGCAATTTGTCTGAGGTCATAGAGCAGAACTTAGAAACTGGCGATGGGATTCAAACTCAGGACTTCCAGGGCATTGCTGCTTTGTGCCCAGGTGTTCTAGTCATGCCGGCATTTAAGATTCATAGCAGGTGCAACCTGCAGCCTCAAGAGGCTTAGCAAAGCAGGACTGGGCTAACCCTCCAGGTCCCCAACCATGTCCTTGGACAGCCCCTGGCAGATTCTAAGAAGATTCTCTGTTGTAATAGTTTGAGCTGGGTGAGGCTCTGTCTCCTATTAGCTTAACGAGGAAAGTTCTAAGCAGGCTACAAAACCAGGAGGGATCCCACAGCCTAGGCCACCCAGGGCTTCCAGCAGAAGCATGAGGCAGGTTGGCTAGGTGCTGCCTTTCTGCACCACCTTTGGGGTGGGCAGAGAGCACCCTATTAGAGTCATGGCTACAAGAGAAGGTGGCCCTTTCCTAGAGCCCTCCTGGAATGGTCCTAGGATCCCCTCACCTTGCTCCTGCTCCTTCTGTTTCTTCTTCTCCAGCTTGCGCTCCTTGACGCTGCGTAGCTTGGCCTTGCCGATGCCCCCAGCCTGGCGGATGGACTCCAGGAGAGTGGCCCGGCCACTGGAGGGGTCCACCACTTCCTTGGGAGCTCCCTGGACTGTAGCTGGGAGGGGCAGGGTGTGAGGAAGAAGCCTGCTCAGGCAGGCCGCCCTATGGGACAGCCTTGCCCAGCCGGAGGTTCTGGGGGTCCAGAGGCTTCCCCTCAAACCTGGCGGTGAGAACAGGCTGTTCCTCTTGACAAAGGAAGCCAGTGGGTGAAGCCGAGCCTTGGGAGCCCATATGCAGCCTGAATGCTGACTGTGTCTGCCTGCACTCAGGAGGTCCTGTATGCAGGCACCCCTGCTCCCTTCCAACGCCACTACCCGTTTGCTGCAAATCTACCCGTTTGCTGACAGTGTCTGAACTTGACACATGAACCAACAAGGAGTTTTTGTGCCACCTGTGGGTTCTGGAGATAAACCAGATGTCATACTAAAACGAAAATCCCCATTGTAAGGATTTGGATATTTTATTGCTGAACTTTTCCATTTTTTTCAGTAGCCCCTTTTTAAATAGAAATGAGGGACCACACCTCCATGTCTAGGCTCCCTCTCCCTGGAGATTAGAATTTTGGGAGGCTACAGTTTGAAAACCACTATTTCATGTACCCAGGGGAACAAGATTTTGAAATTAGAATTCTTCTGAAAGTCTGAACCTTATGGCCACATAAACCTACAGAAAACCCTTCAGGAATCCGGAAATCAGAGGCATCCTCAGAACACATGTCCCCTCCCCGCCCCCAACCCCGGGGGCACCCTGCTGCTGCTCTACCTGGAGACAAGCCACCACTGCGGTCTTCTTCCCTGGCACCTTGGCCTGGGGAGGCCAGGGTCTGGGGTGGGGGTGGCGGAGCGCTGACCAGCACAGCTGGAGCTGGGGGAGGCGGCGGGGGTGGGGGTGGGGGTGGGGGTGCTATCAGCACTCCATCTTCCGGGTCTGCAACGGAAAGGTGGGAAGGTGTGATGTTCCTAGGATGCAAGTGTCTGAGCCCGAGAGCTCCTGCCCAACTCCTGTTTCCAGCTCACCTGGTTTCGTCACACCCTGTGTGGGAAGGTGGGCAGCTCTGGAATGGTGCCAGGGGCGGAGGGGGCGATGCCGGGGCCCAGGTCAGCACTGTACATGAGGTCATCAGCGATGCCTGGCAGGTCAGGCAGGTAGGATGTATACGTCGATCTCAGGCACTTGGCCCAGGTCAGGCACATAGAAGTAGTTCCTCTGAACCGTAACGACAGGTGGGATGCATGAGCCGGGGCTGCAGGGGACCGGTGCCCTGTAGTTTGACCTTGGGGCAGCGAAAGCAGGGCTCCACACCCTGCACAGCAGTGGGCGTGGAGTAGGGCCCTCAGCAGACCCTGAGGATGCTGGCAGACGCTCCGCTGCACCCCTCCCCGACACGCCTCCATCTCCACCTGTTGCTCCAGCTGCTCCCTCTTGCTGATGGACAAAGGGGCATCGAACAGCTTCTCCTCTGTCTCTGCCCCCAGCATCACGTGGGTCTTCAAGAAGACCAGCCAGGGGTCCAGGAAGATCGACTAAACAGAAGTGTGGGATGGTGGGGGCAGTCCATCACATTCAACAGGTCCTGACCCCATCTTTTCCTGATTTCTAGGGGCCACGGGTTTCAGGCCTATGGACTCCTTCGAAATTTTATGGCAAACCAAACTGCTCAGCCAGTCTCCCCCCCCCCCCAAGCCTGCAGTCTTCTGCACCCAAGTCTGATGCCCCCTGTATCCCCCACAAAGCCAGGCTGGGCCCCCAGCCGCCCTTCCAGAGCCCTGCCCTCTGCCGTACAGGTTCTCAGTGGTGTTGAACAGCAGCAAGGAGCTGACGGAGCTGATGTTGCTGGGAAGGCCCCCGAGCCCCTCCTCGGCCTCATCCTCAGGCTCTGGCTTGGTGTTCACACACACAGGGAAGTATTTCAGCTTCTCCTGGCAGAATGAGGGGTGGTAACACAAGAATGGTGGGTTTCAGTACTGGGTCAAAGTGACCACCCATCCCAGTCAAAATCCTCTGAGGGGACAGAACCCTCAGTTCCTCCCCCACAGCCAAGGCCACCTCTGGTCACCCTTCCAAGTGCATGAGCCCATCAGACCTGCAGGGCCCACTCATCCAGGGGGCGGTGCTTGCTCTGGATCCTGTGGCGGGGGCGTCTCTGCACGCCAGGGTCCTGGGCACCTGTGAAGATGGAACCATACTCCTGCAGACGCTCTGGTGCTGGGTACTTGGCACTGGAGAACACCTGTGGACACAGAATCTTAGATCAATTCTTCAGGGGGCCCAAGATGCTCCAGAGCCTAGGGTGGGGTTGGAGGGGTGGATTCTGAGCAGGAGGAAAGCTTGAGGGGTGGCTGGACAGGGTGGGCAGGGACCTGGGCAACCTCAGAGGTGTGGGGATGGGATTTCTGGCACTGCTTGCCAGCTACAGGGACTCAGGGTCACATGGGCTACCTTGATGGCCTTCTTGCTGCCTTTAATCTTCTCAATCTTGGCCTGGGCCAAGGAGACCCTCTCCCCAATGGCCTGCAGCTGCCTCCGGCTGAGCTCTACTCGCTGGGAGATCCTGCCATGGAAAAAGAATCACAGGCTGAGGGCCGCTCCCCAGAAGGCTACAGCTTCCTGCACACCTGCTTCTTCCTGCAAACCTGCAAAGCCAAGGGCTTAGGCAAGGGCCCTTAAAATACAGTGTTCTCTGCTGGTCACAGCAGATCTTGGGACTGCCCGGGTGGCCTCTGCAAGGCTTGTCTAACCTGAAGAGTCTATGAATGAACTCCACTGGATTCCTTGGAGCTCTGGGTAGGAATGGGCAATCACTCTGGCCTCAAGTCGGTGCCTGGATGTGCCATCTTAAGGGACAGGGCTCCTGCCTCCAGGAGTTTACAGCCTCAAGCAGGGGCAAGCAGAGACAAAACTATCATGACTCACGTATGTAATCACCTACTTCCAGACGAGGAAACTAGAGCTCGGCAAGGATGGGTGACGGGCAAGACTGGGTCTAAATTCAAGTCCCAGACCCGTTCACAGGGAGCTGCCCCAACATATCATAAACAGCTTGTGTGGGCAAATCGAAAGTCCCCACTGTGGTTCTCATGGTTGTGGTCAGGGTGCTCTTGGGTTTCCACTCACCCTTCCCTGATCAGTGGGCTCCAGTGACACCAGTGCCCTGCTATTCCCCAAACATGCCAAATGTATTATCGCATGGCCTTTGCATCAAATGGAGTGCTGTCCCCACAGATAACCACAAGGCTGGCTTCTTTGCTTCGCTGAGCACCCTCCTTGCGGAAGCCTTCCTGGCCAAGGACTCTTAAAGATGCACCTGTCACTTCCCAACCCCCTTTAACACAGAGCCATTTGACATTATGCATGAGTGCTCCAAGGGGGTAAGGGCTTTGCTTTGGTCCCTACTACATTCCCAGTGCTGGCACCTGCAGGGGCTCGCTGAGTGACAGTACCCATATGCCCTAAATGTAAATGCATGTGAGTCTCACTTATGCTGTCCCATATTATTGAGCAATGGCAAGTTTCTTCTCACCGCAGAGTTGACAGAGACACCAGGGCATCCTCCTCCCGGTTGCTTCCCCACCTCCAAGAACACCAGTCCCTGCCTGCGACCACCGGGTTTCATATAAGCACTCACCTGGCAGGAGTGGGTGCACAAGTGAAAAACAAAAGAGGCAGAACTGCAAGTTTACTTTGCAGGGGAGGGAAGGAGGACACATTGGATGGCAGAGGGGCCCCGCTGCCTCTGGGATCAGAGACTATACAGCCAGGGAACTCTGGGATTTCTTTAAAAGTTGAACAGTCAAAGCTCTGGACCAATCTTCCTAAATCAACCAAACTCCACCAACTCTAGAGGATTCTGTCCCCCAGAGAACCAACCCCATCAGCCAATTTCACAACCGTAGGGGTCTCTGTTCCCCAAACTCCCTGATTACTCCTGGCTCCTTATGTGTAGGGAGCTACATGAGGTGGGGGGCTAGGGTACAAGCAGGTACCCAAAGCAGCTTAGTCTTCCTTGACAGACTGGTCTGAGTGGGGCAGTAACAGAGAGAACAGAGGGCAGAGTTTCCTTCCAGTGAGAGAATGCAAAATCACCAGACTTGCGTGAGTTCCATCTTTTCTGGCAGGAAGAAAGGTTTCCATCCACTGAGAAAGGTTACTCACACACAAGCTACTTCCTCCCATTCCCAACCCAGCCACATTCTGCCCCTGGGTGCTGAAGCAACGTCAGTGGTTACATAACCACTCGGCTTGAAGTCAACATGGAGAGTGGGAGGGACATCAGAACTGGAGAAGGACAAAGGCTATTCTGTTCCAGTTCTTCCATCAAGGAGAGAAGGACCCGTTTCTCCAAGTTGCAAACATAAAGCTTAAACAATAAACCCTGGCAAATTTCTAGAATGGATTATTAAATCGAGGGTCTGTAAGCACTTCGAGGAGAAAGAGGCAGATCCCAGGGGCCAGCATTGTTCTAAATTCACAGCATTTCTTTTTTTGACAGCGTTATTAGACTGGTGTATCAGGGGAAAGCCTTAAACACAGTGCATCTTGAGTCAGCAAGGATTCTGACGGCTTCTCACAAAATCCTGTAGACGAGATGGAGCTATGGGGGTTGGAGGAGAGCACATTTAGGAAAAATCAGAGCCAGATGAGCAACAGTACCCAAAGGGCATTGCCGAAGAACGAAATGATTTCAGCCTTGCACAAAGGCCTCTGGCAGGGCCCCATCTAGCTCATGTAACACTGGATTAGTAAACTGGGGGTACTGAACGGAGGAGGGTCAAAATGGTCCACATAGCAGAATCAAGACGCAAATAATCTTGCGAGGCCGGAAAGATGAACTGCAATCAACAAGATGAAATTGACAAGGGATGAAGTCCAGCATTTAGGTTTAAAAAGTACACAAATACAGAAAAGATGGAGGTTTAGCAACAAGGCCTGAGGTTCTGGTTAACTATAGCTCAGTATGAGCTAAAAGTGTGTTAAGCAGCTTAAAAAGGAAATGTGATCTTGGGGCACACAGTTCCTTGTCCCTCCTTCCTTCTTTCAGTAAACAGGGGACATCCACTCTCTTGGAGGCACTATAGAGAAAACAGACCCCAGATTAATGAGCTAACCTATGCTGGGCACCAACCTCTCTGCAGCTGTGTCCCCTTTAAACTGGATCCACATTTTTTATTTATTTTAGAGAAGAGAGAGCACGAGTGGGGGAAGAGGGGCAGAGACAGAATCTTATCAACACAGGGCTCAATCCCATGACCCTGGGATCATGACCTGAACTGAAATCAAGAGTTGGACGCTCAGCTCCAAAGCCTCCCAGGTGCCCGTATACTGGATCCACATTTTAAGAGTCCTCTGAATTCCATCCAGACTATAGGGTCTGTTTTCATTCACTGCTGTATCTCTAGTACCTGGGACTGTGCCTGACATGTAATGAATACCAGCTGAATGTAAAGTGACAAGTTAACGTCCAAAGGAGGGTGATGAGGACAGCGAGGAGTCATACAAAGATGACTGAAGGGTGTTCTGGCTACAGGTGAGATGACTTAGGGAGTATGGTGATTCCCTTCAAATATCAAAACTATCACAAGTGCTGTTGGGCTGAGAAGCGAGTAGACTTATTCTGTCACCCCAGAAGGCTGCATAAGGACCAGCGGGTGGAGTTATAAGGAAGCAGACCTCTTGTGCAGATCTTCTGCACAAGAACTTTTTAGTAAACAGTTACACAGCTTTGAAAATCAGAGTCCAGCAGGATGACCACCTGTCAGGAATGCTCCAAGGGAGACTGCTGTGCAGGGCAGGGGAGAGGAGGACAGGAGCTTACAAGCATCCAAGAGCCTACAGGTCTAGGTAATGGCCTGCTTGTTGACAAAGCCGCCATCTAATCTGTCACAGTCACAGCCATGGGGCCAAAGACAGTGCAGACCATGGGTGAAAGGGCTCTCACTGCTGGGCAGTGGCAGTATGAAGGCTGCATTAGGAAGGACTGGCAGGCCATACGCAGCTGGGATGGAGTGCCACAACCCATTAGCAGCGTCCCCCGTGAGGGTGGGGGGTAGTGGCAAGTGGGCGATCTGCCATTCCTAATTGATGCCCGCTGGCTTGATGGTCTGCTTCAAGGCAGGTCTGTTTCCAAGCTTATCATGGAAGTCATGTCCTCAAAACACATTCGCCCAGACACCAGGGCTGTTTCTGCTGGCAGTGACAGGAAGGAACTGGCTTAGTTGGTCCGCTCAGAGCCTGGGACAGAAAAGAATCAGGTAACGCAAAACTGCCCTCAGGGAGATTCCCCTCTCCCAGGGAGAGAAGTGACTACGATGCCCCACAAACCTGGGTCTAACATCCAGTTAGCAGCAGTGTGACCTTGAGCAAATCACTCAGCTGGCCTCGGCCTCAGGTTTCTTCAGCTAAAACAGGGACAGTGACTTCTAGATCATGGAACTATTGTAAAGGTTAAAACAAGCACCTGTATGTCTAGTGTTCCTGTACTAGTAGCTATATCCAAAGTGCTCGGTTAGCATTTGCTATTGCTACCCCCGAGATTAGGAAGGACGAGGGGCTCCAGGCACTCAGATGAAAGCAAGAAGAGGTGGTGCTGAGCTGATGTGAAGCAGGAAGTTCCAGGCCAGGAAAGAACACCATGGAGCAGAGAGCTGGGCAACAGCAAGGACTCCTCTGGCTGGTGTGGAAGGGATTCAAGGAAGCGCCCTAGGGACCACTCCCCGCCTGGTGTGGGGGAGGTTGGGGACAGGTGGCCAGGATAGTGCTTGGGCCCGGGGCCCCTACCTCCAACGCCCAGTCCCATTCTGTCAGGAATGATTTCCTGCCACGGCCCCTGGCCATCAGCACTCCCACCCTGCCTTCTGCAGAGACTGCTGGGGAGGAGGGAGGAGGGAGCACCCTTCCTGCCCCAGAGTCTCTGCTTCTCCCCTCGCCTGTCCCACCCCTTGGCATTGAGACCCCCCTGAACCTGCTCTTGCCATTCTCTCCTCCTCCTCCTCCTCCTCCTCCACTCACTGGGATGATTAGGAATGATCTGCTAATTATGCAGGCGGCTGACTGAGTGCTTGCCAACCTCGGGAGTCACCAGGTGCCAATCAGGACCAAGAAAGGAGGGGAGGGGAGGGGAGGGTAGTCTGGAGGAAATGAGGCAGAGGGGGAAGGATGGGAAAGGAGGAAGGGGAGAGAGGGAAGGAGGGGCTGGAAAGACAAAAGAGAAGCAGGGGAAAAGCTCTGCAGAGAAAAGGAACCCTTCCCCAGGCTGCGGCTTCCTCGGTGAGGTGGCCACAGCACTAGGGCTGACGGGGACACCGAGTGACAGCACTTGACCCCAACCTCCACACTGTCCAGCTCCTCTTCCCTATGCCACCCCAGCCCCCTCTGCCTTGTCATCTAAGTCATGTGAAGCCACTGACGTCTCTGGGCAGCTATTTTGGAGCCTGGCTCGTCCCAGGTGAAGATGAGGGCAGGTGAGGGACAGGCACTCTGCCAGGCAGGAGGAGAAGCGGGTCCAGGAGAGCCTGAGAGGTGCTTGTCATTCTCTCCATTCTCCCTGCGGCTCCC